AGACACTTAGCATATTAGGCTTTTATTATATAAGACTAGAGGCCTGGTGCACAAAAATTTGTGCACTCGTGGGGGGGAGGGGGGGTCCCCCAGCCAGGCCTGTGCCCTCTCGCAGTCTGGGACCCCTCGGGAGATATTGACCTGCTGGCTTAGGCCTGCTCCTGGGTGGCAGAAGGCAGGCCCAATCCATAAGTGCAGCCCCTGGTCAGGCTCAGAGCAGGGCTGATTGGGGAGTTGGGGTGCCGCCCCGTCATGCACAGAGCAGGGCAGATTGGGAGGTTGTGATGCCACCCTCAGTCACCCTCAGGATAGGGCCGATTGGGGGGTTAGGGCACCGTCCCCTGTCACACTCAAGGCAGGGTCGATGGGGAGGTTGCGGCGCCATCCCCTGTCACGCACAGAGCAGGGCCTATCAGGGGGTTGGGGCGCTGCACCCTGTCACACACAGAGCCGCAGGGCGATCAGGGGGTTTGGGCGCTGACCCTGTCACGCTGATTCGGTGCCAGGAGGCCTCGAGGCTCCGCTGATCCCAGTGCTGGGAGGCATATTACCTTTTTACTATATAGGATAGAGGCCTGGGGGCCGGCTGGTTTGCCCTGAAGGGTGTCCTGGATCAGGGTGGGGGTCCACACTGGGGGGCCTGGCCAACCTGGATGAGGGGATGATGTCTGTTTGCAGTTGGTCACACACCCTTCAGGGTGGGGGTCCCCACTGGGGTGCCTGGCCAGTCTGGGTGAGGGGCTGAGGGCTGCTTTCAGGCTGGTGGTTGTTGACTGAAGCTCCCAACTGCTCCTTTTTTTTCTCTTTTTTAAATTTTATTCTGGGCCAGCTTTAACTCTGGCTCTAGGTCTGAGGCTTCTGCTGGTTCGTTTGCGTTCTATAATCGAAACAATGTATAACTCCAGCTCTGAGATCCTGGGGTTTTGTTTAGCTTCTATATTTGTTACAAAGTTTCTTAGAGTTGCAGCTCAGAGGCCCGCAGCACAGGTGGGGAACGTTGGAGTCCTCCTTCACTGCAGCAAGCAAGCCTCATGTTCGCTTCCAGCTGCCTGGCTGCTGGCCGCCATCTTGGCTGACAGTTAATTTGCATAAGGATATGCTGATTAGGCAATGAAAAGGGTAGCGGTCGTACGCTAATTACCATGTTTCTCTTTTATTAGTGTAGATTCTTTCCCCTCAGTTCCTCAGTAGCTATGCTGATAGTTTGACCTGAATGCCCAATGATTCTCTTTTATAAATTTTAATTTTTTATTATAGTTGAAATGCAATATGATATTACTTTCAGGTGTACAACATAGTGATTAAACATTTTTATACCTTACAATACGATCACCACAATAAGTCTAGTATCCACCTATCACTGTACGTAGTTATATTCCCTGTATTCCCTAGGCTGTACTTTACATCCTGTGACCTATTTTACAACTGGAACTTTGTACTTAATCTCCTTCCCTCTTTCTAATGATTCTTTTTTTAATTTTGAATATAAGAAATTTTATTAAGCCAGTTCTCAGCATTTGTCTTTTTGAATCTGTTTTTCCTTTCAATCTGTAGATTCCCTTATTTTATTTTATTTTATATTTATTTATTTATTTAAAAATATTTTTATTGATTTCAGAGAGGAAGGGACAGGGAGAGAGAGATAGAAACATCATTGATGAGAATCATTGCTTGGCTGCCTCCTGCATGCCCCCTACTGGAGATTGAGCCTGCAACCGGCCATGTACCCTTGACCAGAATCAAACCTGGGACCCTTCAGTCCCCAGGCCAAGGCTCTATCCACTGAGTCAAACCGGCTAGGGCTCACACTTTTATTATTAATTTTAGTTGTGTTTTTTTTTTGTGGTAAAATACATATAACATAGAATTTACCATCTAAACCATTTCTAAGTGTACAGTTCAATAGTGTTAAGTACATTTATGTTGTTGCACAACCAATCTGCAGAACTTTTTTCAACTTGCAAAACTGAAACTCTTCATCCATCAAACAACTCCCCATTATCCCCTTGCCCCAGCCAGATTCAAATTTTCTTTTATTTTTCAGGAACACTTTAACGATGTCTTTAATTCTGCGTTTCTTTTCTAGGTGCGCAGTTCTCTTTCTCAGGAGCAGTCTCATACATATGGTGGATCTAGTTACAAACAAGGTGTCTTTGATTTTGTTCCTCTGAGTATATCATGCACTTTAGAGAAGTTGTATTTGTCTGCTCTGTCCATGAGCTGTCATCATGGGACACTGTGTCAGCATCTTCCCTCAATTTGGTTCCAGTTTCACTGGACTTGGCAGAAGTTCTTCATAGAAAGTGCTATTTGGGCCCAGCTGGTGTGGCTCAGTGGTTGAGCATTGACCTATGAACCAGGAGGTCATGGTTTGATTCCAAGTCAAAGCACATGCCAGGGTTGCAGGCTTCATCCCCAGTGTGGGGTATGCAGGAGGTGGCCAATCAATGATTCTCTCTCATCATTGATGTTTCTTTTTCTCCCTTCCTCTCCCTTCCTCTCTGAAATCAATAAAAAAATACTTTTTAAAAAAGAAAAGTATTATTTGGGGCTGTAAGTTCTCTCCATTTTCATTCAAAATGGAATTTATAAATCTTTATTTATTTTTCTTGTGGTAAATCAATTCAATTGGTTTCAGAGATAAGATGTTGGTGGATGTATCTTTATTCCTTCTTATTATATTTGGAATTGTGTTATTGAGTGTTTCTCTTATTAACTTGTATATAATTTATTTAGAAGAGTGATTTTCAGCTCGTGGAACATATAAACTAATTACTCAAATTCTGCAGCATACCAAAAAATATATTTTTTGTGATATATTTTGATTCATTCACACTGGATGGCTGTTGTTGTGTTGGCCATTGTTATTTTTTTTTTATTTGACAATTTAAGGGAAAAGAGGTTAGTGCTCCTGACTAAATAGTCAGGTATCGCATTTTTTAAAAATTCTTGTGGCATGCCAGTTGAAAATCAATGATTTAGAATATCACTCATAGCTGAACATCAAACCTCCATAAACTTAGAACTTAGGAAAACAATTGCAAACCCAGAAATAATCCTTTTAAAATTGTTTATTATTTCTTGTCATTTCATGAAATTGGAGGTGGGAAGGGGGGTGGAAAGCTATGCTTGGCTTTTTAGCTGGACACGGATACGTTTGTATGTGTCCTGAGTGGTTTGTGTCAGAAGGAACACCTTCTGCTCCCCACACCCCAACAAAGATAATGTGTTAAAGTAACATCCACAAGGGGAAGCTGCCTATGCCTTTTTTCCTTGTTGGTCTGCTAGGGCCTTTGAACTGCTGCCGTTGTCTGTAGAGATGAAAGATTTCACTGGGCCTGGGTTCTTCTCTGAAACAGTATCTGGGAAACTGCTTCCCCTTTATCAGGCTTTGTCATGGTCACTGTACCTTCCAAAGCACAGAGATTTGGGTGTGAGATGGTTAAAGTTTTCTTGCCTTGGAAGGGGGAGGACTTGGGTGTGTTGGAGTGCTGGAAGGCAGATATCACCAGAGCCTGGCTGGGTACTGTCAGTGGGGAAGATGGGAGAAGTGTTGTGCGCAGGTATGGGCCTGAGTGGATGGTGCCTACATGAATCTCCATCTTTAAATACACAAGCCATTTGTGAAGTAAGCATCTATTTATTATCCATTGAGTATCAGGATATTGAGATGGATCACATATAAACTTGGTTCTGAAGAGTTATATATCTGGTAAAGAGGTAGCACATTAATTTCACAGGATGAGAATGGAGAGGTGGGTGGAAGTGATGTAATACTTTCAATAATAAAGATAAATTAAAAAACATACTGAAATAAAATTAAATACTGAGAAATAAATTTAACCAAAGAGATCTGTGCAGTAAAAACTTAAAGACATATATATATCAATATAATGGACTATTATTCAGCCACGAGAAAAAGGGGAATTCTGCTATTTGCAACAACATGGGTAGAGCTGGAGGATATTGTGCTAAGAGAAATACTTCAGAGTAAGACAAATACTTTATGATCTCATTTATATGTGGAATCTAAAAAACCCCAAACTCATGGAAACAAAGTAGATTGGCGGATGCCAGGGCTTAGGAGGTGCGGGAAATGGGTGATGGTGGCCAAAGGCTGTGACCTTCCAGTTATAAGAAGAACCAGTAGCCAGCTGAAATGTTGAATATGGGCATAGGGGTGTGTGTTAGTTTCCTACCATAATCTGGATGACTCAAAACAACATAAATTTATTGTCGCTTAGCTTTGAAGGCTAAAAGTTCAAAATCAACGTGTCAACAGGGCCGTGCTGTTTCCGAAACCTGTAGGGAAGAACCCTTCTCTACCTCTTCTTGTTCCTGTTGTTGGCATCACACCAGTCCCTGCCTCCTTGGTCACATGGTCATCTATCCTTGTGTGTCCTTACATAATCTTCCCTCTGTGTATGTCTGTGTCCCAATTTCTCTCTCTCTCTCTCTATCTCAACTTTTTTGTTGATTTAAAAAGAGAGAGGAAGGGGGAGGGAGAAACATTAATGTGAAAGTGACACATCAGTTGGCTGCCTCCTGCACACCCGCATCAGTGCACAGGACGATGACCAACCCACTGATCCACACCAGCCAGGCTCAGTAAATCAACTGGCCCCGTGTGGAAATTGTGAGTGGAAGGCAGGTGGGATGCAGTTTTTACTAATGCCACAAGAAAGTGGCTTTTGTAGCAATAACTCAGGATTTGACTCTTTTCAGGATGACAAATCCTGGCTCTTTGGAGGTTGATTTAATTTTTGGAACTGCTCAAATGTCACTAGGAGCCCTGTGTGAAGAAGGAGGAGGCAGACCGAACTGAGTGGCATTTGGAGCAGGAGGCCCAGCACATGTGGCTGTGGCTCAGTGTGACTAAAAGGGCTTGTTAGAGGCAGTGTCCTGAAAGTGGGCTGTGCCCGGCTCAGGGTATGGGCTCCAGGCAGGGCTTTTCTCCCTCCCCCTCAGGCCCACCCTACAGAACACAGGCACACAACAAGTTGAATGCTTTCAATTTAATTGCTCTGAGCCGTACACATGATTAAGGCGTTAAGTTCCCAGATCCCATTCTTTACAGCTTCTCAAATGATAGATCTGATTGGACCCAACCTCTCCTTCAGATCATCTGGAAGAAAGCAGAGATGGGAATGAGGCTTGAAGGGCCGAAAGCACCACCCACACATTCCACCCTCAACTCAGTCTTCTTTCCAACCTCACTGCACCCCTGAGGGCCTGACCCAGAAGTCAGAGGGAGGGAGGTTAGATTCACAGGAGGCCAAAGGATGAGCCCTATCCCCCAACCTGGGCAGGAGTGAGAGGAAGAGAAATGAGCAAGCAGGCTCTGCAGTGGAAGGTTGGGGGTAGGACCCCAGGGGCATCTGGTATCAGACAACCATGCATTTTGAATGTGGATGAGAAATTTGAGCCATTTGAAGGCACAAATGAAGGAAATTTCTATGGAGAGGGGCTGAGGTAGTCCCAGATCTCCTGTGTAGGGTGGTGGTGAGGGCATGGTCTTTCCCACCTCCCCAGTTGGCTCGTGGCTGGTGGCTGGTGAGCACTCCTGTTCCCAAAAGGCTTTACCTTTAGCCTTTTGAATTCTTTCCTCCACCTTTTTTTTTTCTCTTGCAATGACATCTTTTATGTCCGATCTACCTTTCTCTATCACGGATTCTAATTTTGGAGCAGAAGAATCACATCAGCAGAAAAGCCATGTCATTTAAAGAGAGTTCCCACCTCTTCCTCTCTTCCCCCATTATCCTTGTATAAATTCCTAAAGTGCAGAAGTTTTGCTGAGGGGCCCAGCTTCTGTCTCATAGGAAAGTGAGTGGGCCAGGAGAGAAACCATGTATAGTGCAGGCAGCAAAATCTACTATTGTAGAGACTCTGTGTTTGGGTGCAGTGTTCACCTCATTTGTGCGTTGTGTTCAGGTGAATGAATGAATGTCTGCTTCTTCTGGGCTTGTCTTTGTGCACAGAGGCATCATGTAGACCTGCTGCCAGAGGTGGCTTTGGGTTGTATCTGTTACAGAGACAGAGACTTACCCAGATTTTTTCTTTGCTTGGTGGTTGGCTCCTGGGCTGCCGCCGAAGTCTGGGCTGCTATGGTTGTCTCTTGGGGTGCATCAGATTGCACTGGAGTTACAAACACACAGATTTGTTGATTTTAGCAAAGTCAAGTGTTTTTTTTTTTTTTCCTTAGGAATGGGTGGCAGAGCCTCAGATACCTAATATGTGCTGGGTGCCAGGATACAGAAATGATATGGCATAAACTCTCCCTCGTAAGAGAGAAATGGGATTTCTACACACTATGTGCTCATTATAGACGAGTGTGTTTGTCTCTTACACCCCACCCCCCACCCTGCCCCAATGTATCTGGTGAAATCTTAACTTCCAACAGAATGGTATCAGGAGGTGGGGCCTTGGGGAGGTAATTAGGTCATGAGGTGAAGCCCTCATGAATGACATTAGTGCCCTTGTGGAAGGGACCACAGAGAGCTCTCTCCCCTTCTTTCCACTCTGTGAGGATACGATGAAAAGTTGGCAGCCTTCAACCTGGAAGAGGGTCCTCACCAGAACCTGACCATGCACACACCCTGGTCTCAGACGTGTAGCCTCCAAGACCATGGGAAATACCTTCCTGCTGTGTAGGCCAGTCTATGGTTGCTTGTTGTAACAGCCCGCCCGAATGGACTAAGACAGAGCCTCTTGGGAGATGGGCAGGCTGGGCACTTGTTCTGGGCATGGTTGGGGAGGAATTGGGAGAGGAGTGTGGGGGCAATCAGGGAGCATGGGAGAGAGAAGCTGGGTGTTGAATGCAGGATTTTGGCAGGGATGTTGTTCTAAAGGGGCTTCCTTGGGGGCAGGAAGTGAGTCAGCAAGAGCTCTGGGGAAGGCATGTGTGGGGCAGGTGGGCAGAATGCAAAGAAGTGAAATTTAGCAGATATGGGTGGTACATGAGGGAGAGGCATGGGAAAGAGAGTTGGAAATGGGGTCTGAGGCCAGACAGTGGGCACCTTGCAAAGGAGCTGGGAGTCACGAAAGCTGTTTACAGGTAAAGGTCTGCATACTGCATGGGACATTGCCCTTATTATTTTACCTTATCGTTTTCTCCCTTTTATTCACAAAAGCCTTTTCCCCATTAACCTTGCCTGTATGAGTTCTCCTGTTTCTTCCCTACACCTGTCCCACCCCAACCCATGCTCTTCTATTACCACCAAGATCAGGACCCAGTCCCCTCTCCCTGAATTCCTCCCCCAGCCTCCACTGACATCCCAGCTGTTCGACCCTCCCCAGGGCAGGGACCAGAGGGAGAGAACTCACAGCTCGCAGGGTCCTCCGCAGATTGTGCAGGACCAGCGTCGACATCTTCTGTAACCGAGAAGAGAGACAACTATGAGGACTGAACCTGATGCACACTAGAGCCACCCTCCCTCGCATTCCCAATTCTGAGCTCTCAGGAATGATTGTGGACACAGCGGGGCAGATTTCACTGTTGGCTGAACAGGTCCTTCTGCCACACCAGTGGGTCCATCAGAGCATTCTTCCTGATGTTTAACTCCTTCTGCAGTTTTTGAAGCAGGGTCTCATCAGAAAAGTGGATATTCCTCTGAAAACTGCCCTCCTCCTGTGCCTCTGGCTTGTGAGGTGTCCTAAGCTAGTGTCAGGGAGCCAGCCATGGCCTGTGGTGGTGGAGGTTGGTGCAGTGGCCACTGGGTCACACTCATGTGGTTCATGGGATAGGACTCCAGCTCTAATTCCCCGTAATATTTCAACTCAACGTTTATGCAAAACTCTCTGCTAAGTGAAGGGGGTTCTACGATGAAGAAGGTAGATAAGACCCCGCCCCGACAGAGCTAACATTCTAACGTAATTATTTAGTTCCAGGTGAGATGGTGCAATATGGGCAAAAGAGGTCTAATTGATCCTTCATACATTTTTTTTGAGGAAGACTTTCTTGAAGAATTCATACCTAAATTGAGATCTCACAGATGAGAAAGCACCTGGTTAGATGACATTTAGAGTTGGCTGGGGAAGGGGACACACAGAAGGTAGAGCAAGAAGGAAGGTCCCAAATTTTGAGGAGTGGCAGGGTTTTCCTGGCCCAAATAGTGCTTTTGTGCAATTGGAAAAGGCATCCTGAGAGATAGCCATGGGCAGGATACGCTGCTCGGCAAGTGGAACATGCTCTCCATCACCTTCTCTGCCTAGTACCCTTGTGCATGGGACAACCTGCTCAGCTATATTCAGTGGCCCAGAGGCCCTGCAATCAGGCCAGTGTGACCATTATAGGGGGTGAAGGAGGATGTGTGAGGAGATGGCCAGAGGTTTTCTGCCCTCCCTCTAGCCCTAGCAGTGAGGTAAATAGACCACATGTGGAGAATTGGGGGCGGAGGGCAGGAGTCACTTGAAGAGGGAAGAGAAGCCAGCACAGCACTGGGAGAGAAAAGGAGGAATAAAGGCAGGAGCTAAGGCTTCCCTGGATTGTGAGGGCTTTGGTGGGTGCAGGGGGAGGGCCATACTCACGGGCAACGACCAGGGCCCCAGCCAGAGCTGCCAGAAGGAGAAGAGTTGTGAATCTCATGGTTGATGCTCAGGAGTGAGTATCACCACAGAATCCTCAGAGGGTCCCAAATACAGTGCTGGGACTTCTGGGCCCTTTTAAGGACACCAAGAGCCAATGGGAAACAAACTAGGAGGGGTGTGACTTCCTCCTCCTCCTCCTCCCCTTCATCCCCAGATTGTCACCTGCTAAATCGACAAGGATGAGCTGGGGCTGGCAGATACCTGGCACCAACCTTCTCTTTCCTTCTCCACCCCACCTGACCTCTGGGTTCACATCTCTGGGATCTCAGGGACTGGAAGCAGCAGGTTTGGTTCGGGGAGATTTTTAAATGTGTCTGTTGAGGGTACTGGTAGGACTCTTAGTCCTGGCATCTCTCCTGGAGGAGGCTGGGGGCTTGGGAGACCACATTGCCCACCTCTTGGCTAGATCTCCTCTGGACTCAGTGCAGGGGCTTGAAGGTTTCTCCAGGCTAATTGAGCTCAGTCCCCACACTCAGAACACACGTGGGGACTGAGTTCATGGCTCCTTTATCATCATGAGAACATGGCTTTGAAAGCACTGGTGCCTTCTCTAGAGTTGTCCTCTGTTCTTGCACTTAATCCCATAGGAAGAACTCCCCCAGCCCCACATGGGCCCCTGTCAGTCTCTATGCTCAGGTCCAAGCAATGGGATCCCACATTTCTGAGAGGATCTCATGGTTAAAGGAAGCTGGTCGTTCACTGAAGTTGGACTTTGGCTCTCCCTTCCAGTAGGGAGCTAAATCGAACGGGGCTGAGGAGAAACAAGAGCCACTTGAGGAACTGACAGGTGGAGAATAGGGTGCTGGATACCAACTTGTGATTTTCCCTTAGTCTGGTGCTTGTTCTCACCAGGCCCTGGGTGCTCCTGCAGGCTTCTCTGCCTCACAGCTGTTCTGCAGACCGGTGTGGACGAGGGGGTAGGAGGGCGTTTGGCATTGCCGGGCTCAGAGCATTAATCTCCTTAGGAGATAGAGCTGGGACATTACTGGCATGAGGAGTGAGTTCTTTCAACCATTTCACCCATCCTTAACCTCCAGTAAGATAACCATCACATTCAGGCAGCTGATCTGCTCCACACATGGGGTGTGGGACCTGGGTTAAAGTAATTGGGCCCCCAGTAACTCCCTGTGTGGTTTGATATTTGAAATTTATCGGTATCTAATGGTGGTCAGTAGGTGAAGAAGAGGAATGCATTAAATTAACATAGGGACAGGACATGGCAATTGACTGCCTAACTGAGGAGGCTTGAAGGTGATGGGGAGGGCTGAGGGACAGGAGAAAGTGCAATAGGGTGTGTTTGCATATGTTTGTGTCCATGTGTACACTAGAGAAGGAGAAGCTCTGACTCAAGAGCCCGAACAGTCTACCTGAGCACATTAAAAAAGCCAACAGAAGCAACCTATGATATTTGTGTAAGTTTTTTCTAAGAGGAAATTAGAACTCTGACATCAACATTAGAGCTGTCACAGAGCAAGGTCTTTCCAAATGTCACTGCTCATTCTCTTTTCTTTCCTAATCCCCCTCTTTGTTCCAGACATTAAAAAGGCAGGTATTGACATAAATGGGGGGGTGGAGGTGTAAGGCAGGGACACTTGTTCTATAGAAAAATTTCATAACTTTATAACAGGGCCATTCCAATGTTACCTCAAATTGTAGGGGCTGGGAAAGAATTGGATTCGTATATTAAAGAAAAGAGATGCATCCCATGTATCTGGGTGAGGGACATGTCTTCTAGGGTGTTTGACCTCGATGATGACTGTCAGTTTGCCCATCTGTCTTTTATCATGTGCTGGTAATTCTCTGTCCATCCTACTTCCCTCCCCTTTCTGTCTCAGATCCATTCACTGACGATCTCTGCCCTGGTCTGGAAGGATGACCTTTGTGGGCTGTTTCACCTGGACTTCCTTGCCCTCTAGCCTCTGGTTGAATTTGGTCAATGGCAGACAATGGTGGTTGATCAGAGGATGGGAAGAGAGATTGGTCAAGGCATTAGTTTCTCCTGCTACATCCCTGCTTTGTTATGTGTGGTAGGTAGACTTCTAACATACCCTGAGTAATCCCTATTGTATTAGCCCTGTTGACATGGGTGAAGGGATAGCTGCGAATCAACTTTATGTTCTTTCCATCCTATAATTTTCCACCACTCTCTCTGGGACAGGAACAATCCTTGCCAAGGCACCCAAATGCAATCTGTACTTTCCAGTCTGCAGGTTTGTGACACTGTTAACCACTCATCTTTTGAAAGGTTGGGTGCATTCTTTCTCTCTCCTTCCCATTCCCCTCCCTCCCTCTCTTTATCTCTATTTCCCTCCCCCTTTGACTTACCTTTCCCTGCCCCTTAAACATTCCCCAGTGTTCTATTCTTAGCCCTTTCCTCCCCTCCACTTACCTACTCTACTGTGTGACTCATTCTTGGAGTTATGCTTATG